CTCGAGCTTTTGTCCGCGATACGTCTGCGGACAAGCTCTCCTACCGTGCTGTTCCCTGTGTCTTCCTTGGCTTTGTCCCTGACGCGTCTGGTTGGCAGTTTTACCACGCCACCTCGCGCCGGGTCCTGCCTTCTCAGGACGTCACCTTTGATGAGTCCGTCCCCTACTACCGCCTCTTCCCCTACCGCACTGCCCCGCTCCCCCCCCCGCCTCTCTTCCTCGCGCCAGGTGCTGCTGTGGTAGACCCCCTCCCCCCTCAGGGTGCCGCTCCCTCAGGTGTGTCCCAGGTAGACCCGGGTGAGCCTGTTGAGGTAGCCGTTGACTCTCGTCCTGCTGGGGGTGCGGAGCCTGGGGGTACGGAGCCTGGGGGTACGGAGCCTGGGGGTGCTGAGACTAGGGGTGCCGAGACTGGGGGTGCTGAGCCTTTGGGTGCTGAGACTGGGGGTGCTGAGCCGCAGAGTCCGGAGTCTGGGGGTTCTGCGTCTGGGGGTGCTGAGCCTGGGAGTCCTACACCTGGCGGAGCTCTCTCCTCGGAGCAGCTACACGAGTGGTACTTACAGTACTGCAGCCTCAGGAGAGGTGCCTCTCGAGCTAGGACTACTGCTGGGACTGGTGCTGGTTCTTCCCCGCCTCAGCGGGAGCTGCCCTCTCTTGAGCGGATCCATGAGTGGTACGAGAGGCGCTGCACTCTCAGGAGTGGCGCGCCTGGCGTCACGGACCCTGCTGCTGGTACTAGTGCTGCTGGTGCTGGTGCGGCTGGAGCTGCTGGAGGTGCTGCTGGAGCTACTGGAGGTGCTGCTGGAGCTGCTGGAGGTGCTGCTGGTACTAGTGCTGCTGGTGCTGGTGCTGCTGGAGCTACTGGAGGTGCTGCTGGTACTAGTGCTGCTGGTGCTGGTGCGGCTGGAGCTGCTGGAGGTGCTGCTGGAGCTGCTGGCGGTGCTCCTGGTACTAGTACTGCTGGTGCTGGTGCTGCTGGAGCTGCTGGAGGTGCTGCTGGTACTAGTGCTGCTGGTGCTGGTGCTGCTGGAGCTGTTGGAGGTGCTGCTGGTACTAGTACTGCTGGTGCTGGTGCTGCTGGAGCTGCTGGAGGTGCTGCTGGAGCTGCTGGTGGTGCTACTGGTACTAGTCCTGCTGGTGCTGGTGCTGCTGGAGCTGCTGGAGGTGCTGCTGGAGCTGCTGGAGGTGCTGCTGGAGCTGCTGGAGGTGCTCCTGCTACTGGAGCTGCTGGGGGTACTGGAGCTGCTGAGGAGTCTGGAGCTGGAGTTGCTGAGCGGCCGCGGCCGTACTACGTTCCACTCCTTCAGCAGGTTCTTGGCCTTCCGCCCCCTCCTGGTCCTACTCCTCCTCCACTACTGAGTCCACCACCTGTCCTGTCGCAGTCACAGTTACAGCCCGCCTCTCCCCTGCCTGGTCCTTCTCCTTACACTGCACCGACAGGTAGCTTCACAGAGCGTCGTGAGCCTGAGTCTCGCCCTCCCTCACCAGAGTCCGGTCCTGTTCCTTTTGAGTCTCGTCCAGAGTCGCCTGTCCGCACTGCACGCACTGGTCGTCGTGTTCCACGTGAGCGTCCTCCTCCTGTCCTAGGCACTCACTACATGACCCTGCGTCAGTCCACTGCTCCACAGCGCGTCCCTCTGCCGTCTCCTCCTGCGTCCTCTCTTCCTACCGTTGCTGACCCGCCGTCAGACCTTGCTCGTGCTGCTAGTCCTACTGTCGCGCGTCTCCTTGCCACTGTTGTCACTGACCCTACCTTTGAGTCCTCTGCTGCGTCTGCTCTAGTCGCTGAGCTTGTTGACTTTGCTGCCGCTTGTCGTCTAGACTACGCTGCTAGCCTTGTCACTGAGTCTGAGTCTGTCTGTCCTCCGTCCGTCGGGGGTGAGTGTGCTCTTGGCACTGACGTCCTTGAGGACAGGCAGGAGGAGTTTCAGTGCTTTGCCGCTGCTTTGCCCCATCTCGTGTCCATGCTTGTTGCCCCTGAGGGAGACCCGGATGCACCAGACATCCCGACCCCACGCTCTTACACAGAGGCGATGGCCGGTCAGTACCCCTCTCAGTGGCACACAGCCATGGACGCAGAGGTGGCTTCCTGGAAGTCCACAGGCACCTACGTCGACGAGGTTCCCCCACCTGGGGCGAACATTGTCAGTGGCATGTGGATTTTCAGGGTAAAGCGGCCGCCGGGTTCTCCGCTTGCCTTCAAGGCGCGTTACGTTGCACGAGGCTTCAGTCAGCGAGAGGGAGTTGACTTCTTCCAGACCTTCTCCCCGACCCCGAAGATGACCACTCTTCGGGTTCTGCTGCACGTCGCTGCTCAGCGTGACTACGAGCTCCACTCTCTTGACTTCAGCACTGCGTTCCTACAGGGCAGCCTGCACGAGGAGATCTGGCTGCGCCGCCCACCTGGCTTCACTGGGTCGTTCCCTCCTGGTACCCAGTGGAGCCTCCGGCGGCCAGTCTACGGTCTCCGCCAGGCGCCACGTGAGTGGCACGACACACTGAGGACTACACTTGCGGCTCTTGGGTTTGCTCCTTCTACTGCTGACCCGTCACTGTTTCTACGCACCGACACCTCGCTGCCGCCGTTCTACATCCTCGTGTACGTCGACGACTTGGTCTTTGCCACTGCTGACACAGCTGGACTCGCCCACGTGAAGTCGGAGCTGCAGAAGAGACACACGTGCACAGACCTGGGTGAACTGACAAGCTATCTTGGCTTGCGGATCACCCGGGACAGAGCACGCCGCACCATCACCTTGACTCAGTCACACATGGTGCAGCAGGTCCTTCAGCGCTTCCGCTTCACGTACTCCTTGCCTCAGCCCACTCCTCTGCCTACAGGTCACTCGCTCTCAGCTCTGCCTTCGGATGAGTCCGTAGAGCCGAGTGGCCCGTATCCAGAGCTTGTGGGTTGCCTCATGTACCTGATGACCTGCACTCGACCTGACCTTGCATACCCTCTTAGCATCCTTGCACGCTATGTCGCTCCCGGCCGTCACCGGAAGGAGCACATGGATGCAGCTAAGAGGGTGTTGCGCTACTTGTGCAGTACGTCGGGCATGGGGCTAGTGCTTGGAGGGCGAGACAGAGTCGTTCTCACTGGGCACTCAGACGCTTCTTGGGCAGACGACCAGGCTACTCAGCGGTCGTCTCAGGGCTACACCTTCAGTGTTGGCTCTGGCTCTGTTTCTTGGCGTTCTACACGCTCTTCTTCTGTTCTCAGCTCCAGTTGTGAGGCTGAGATCTACGCCACAGCCATGGCGGCCCAGGAGCTACGCTGGCTCACGTATTTGCTGACCGACCTTGGAGAGCTGCCTCGTTCTCCTCTGTCAAACATTATATATGTTATGCTTGTGTAGGCTACAGTGGGTTAGCCTATAGGGGGTACACAATTCTAGGGTTTCCTACTTGTACTCATTTCACTGCTAGTTCATTCATTCCTGTTCGCTTATTCTCACATGGTATAGAGCGGGTCCTTCTACGGACCGTTTTTTTTGGGCCCACCGAAGCGCCCCCCGAGGCGCGATCTTTTTTTTTAGCGACCCCTCGGGTCGCCATTTCCCCTGCGGCCCCGCCGCCTTCACTGACGCGGCCCCGCCGCCCTCTCTGTCGCGGCCCCGCCGCCTGCTCTCACGCGGCCCCGCCCCGGCTCCTTCGCGGCCCCGCCGCCTGCTCTCGCGCGGCCCCGCCCCGGCTTCTACGCGGCCCCGCCCCGGCTTTCACGCGGCCCCGCCGACGGCTTTGTCGCGGCCCCGCCCAGGCCCTTACGCGGCTCCGCCGCCTGCTCTCACGCGGCCCCGCCCCGGCTCCTTTCGCGGCCCCGCCGCCTGCTCTCGCGCGGCCCCGCCCCGGCTTCTACGCGGCCCCGCCCCGGCTTTCACGCGGCCCCGCCGACGGCTTTGTCGCGGCCCCGCCCAGGCCCTTACGCGGCTCCGCCGCCTGCTCTCACGCGGCCCCGCCCCAGCTCCTTTCGCGGCCCCGCCGCCTGCTCTCGCGCGGCCCTGCCCCGGCTTCTACGCGGCCCCGCCCCGGCTTTCACGCGGCCCCGCCGACGGCTTTGTCGCGGCCCCGCCCAGGCCCTTACGCGGCTCCGCCGCCTGCTCTCACGCGGCCCCGCCCCGGCTCCTTTCGCGGCCCCGCCGCCTGCTCTCGCGCGGCCCCGCCCCGGCTTCTACGCGGCCCCGCCCCGGCTTTCACGCGGCCCCGCCGACGGCTTTGTCGCGGCCCCGCCCAGGCCCTTACGCGGCTCCGCCGCCTGCTCTCACGCGGCCCCGCCCCGGCTCCTTCGCGGCCCCGCCGCCTGCTCTCGCGCGGCCCCGCCCCGGCTTCTACGCGGCCCCGCCCCGGCTTTCACGCGGCCCCGCCGACGGCTCTGTCGCGGCCCCGCCCAGGCCCTTACGCGGCCCCGCCGCCTGCCCCCGTCGCGGCCCGGTCACCTCCTGACGGCCCCGCCGTCCCTTCCTGACGGCCCCGCCGTCCCCTCCTGACGGCTCCTGCCGTCCCCTTCTACCGGCCCCGCAACTGCACCTGCTGGCCCCGCCGCTGCACCTACCGGCCCCCCACCACCCACCCCCCCCTTTTCCCGTCGCCTGTCGAGGCGACCTGAGGGGGCCGCTTGCGGTGGCAGGTGTGTGGCCTCCCCTGCTTCTCCTCCTCCTTCATCTCCCCTGCAGCAGCCGAGCCGCCCCACAGCCGAGCCGCCGGGTCGCTGAGCTGCTGAGCTGCAGTTGCTGCCGAGCCGCCCTGCCGCCGAGTCACCGAGCTACTGAGCTGCAGTTGCTGCTGAGCCGCCTTGCCGCAGAGCCGCCCGAGTCGCCCGAGCCGCCGAGCCGCCGAGCTGCCGAGCCGCTGAGTCGCCGAACCTACTCTTCCCACCACTGGTGAGCTCTTGCCCTGCTAGCACGCTGCGCGTCGCCTGCTTGCCTGCCTGCCTGCCTTTTGGCTTGCCTGGCTGCCTGCCTCCCTGCTGCTAGTCCTGCTCCTGCTTCTACTTGCGGAGCCAAATGCAGCCCCAGCGACGCCGGCGTGAGTCCCTCACGCCGCAGCAGCTGCGTGAGTGGTACGCTGGTTGGGGCTGTAGGGGTGGCGACGCTACTCCTACTACCACTCCTGCTGCTTCTACTCGTGGTGGCGGCCAGATGCAGCTCCCGCGACCCTCTCGCGTGTCTCTCACGCCTCGCCAGCTTCGTGAGTGGTACGCTCAGAGTGGAGGGTCTCTTAGTGCTGTTCGCTGCTCTTATGTGATTCGCACTGGTACTCGGACTGGTCAGCCTTGTGGGACACGTAGTCATACACCGTCCCGCTGCTTCGCCCGTCTGAGCGACGCCTGGCGTACCGTGTTTGGCGACGAGGCTGAGCTTCCCGACTGGGTGGAGTTGCTTAGGCAGAGGGTAGATATATATGCTCTTGACTATGATGCTATTCTCACTGCCATGTATGCATTGCCTACTAGTGCTGACCGTGCAGGTCACCTGTGCGTCCCGCCTGACCCAGGTATAGGACCCGCTGCTCTAGCTACTAGTGAGGCTGCTGCTCTGGGTGCTAGTGAGTCTCCTGCTCCAGGTACAGGTGCGGCTGCTGCTCTAGGTGCTAGTGAGTCTGCTTCCTCAGGTGCGGGTGAGGCTGCGCTCTCAGGTACTGCGTTGGCTTTGGCCTCCCTCACCTTTACACTTGACTCTGGGGCTTCTCGCTCCTTCTTTCGGGACCGCACCACACTCACGCCGCTTGGTCGGCCGGTTGCAGTCTCCCTGGCTGACCCCTCTGGGGGTCCTGTCCTCGCTCACTTCTCCACTGTCCTCCCGTGTCCGGCTGCCCCCTCGGGCACCCTGTCTGGCCTGTACCTCCCCTCGTTCTCGACGAACTTGGTGAGTGGTGCAGACCTACAGGATGCGGGGGTTCACCAGTTCACTCCTGCGAGTCAGCGGGTGACCCACTGCACGGACGCACGCACAGGCCGGCACCTGGCCACGTTCTCGCGTCGGCCGGGGTCGAGCCTCTACACCCTGACCACTGAGTCTCCTCCTGTCCCCGCGTCCGGTCAGGTAGCAGCGTCGGGTCAGGTGTTTGCTGCTGCGTCCAGGTCTGGTCCTGAGTCTGCCCCCTGTACTTGTCGCCTCCTGTCTCACGAGACTCTCCTGTGGCACCACCGTCTTGGCCACCCCTCCTTGCCCCGTCTTCGGAGCATGGCTTCCCGTGTCCTTGTCTCTGGTCTTCCCCAGTCTCTCCCTCCTCTCCCCTCCGGGCCAGGACCTTCCTGTGTCCCCTGTGTCGAGGGTCGCCTCCGGGCTACTCCTCACTCCTCCCACTTCCCCCCGACAGAGGCTCCCCTGCAGACGCTTCACATGGATGTGTGGGGCCCAGCCCCCGTCCGTGGGCAGGATTACGAGCGCTACTTCCTGTTGGTGGTTGACGACTACTCGCGTTACACCACAGTCCTCCCCTTGCGCAGCAAGGGTGAGGTCACTGAGGTGCTGATCGACTGGATCCGCGAGGCTCGTCTCCGGCTCAGGAAGAGCTTCGGCTCGGACTTTCCTGTTCTGCGTCTGCACTCGGACAGAGGCGGAGAGTTCTCCTCTGGCCTTCTGCGTGCCTACTGTCGTGCGCGAGGCATCCGCCAGTCCTTCACGCTTCCGGACTCACCACAGCAAAATGGGATTGCTGAGCGCCGCATTGGCATGGTCATGGATGTCGCTCGTACGTCCATGATGCATGCGGCTGCCCCCCATTTTCTGTGGCCGTTTGCGGTGAGGTACGCGGCGCATCAGCTCAACCTTCACCCCCGGGTCTCTCGGCCTGCGATGTCCCCAGCCTTGCTGTGGACAGGGAAGGTTGGCGATGCGTCTGTGTTCCGTGTCTGGGGATCTCGGGCGTTTGTCCGCGACTTGTCTGCGGACAAGCTGTCCCCTCGTGCTGCTCCCTGTGTCTTCCTTGGCTTCCCCACTGACGCCCCAGGGTGGCAGTTTTACCACCCCTCCTCTCGTCGGGTTCTGTCCTCCCAGGACGTCACGTTCGACGAGTCAGTCCCCTTCTACCGTCTCTTCCCCTACCGCACTCCTTCCCTCCCCCCTCCCCCGGACTTCCTTGTACCGGTTCCCCCCCCGGTAGACCCCCTCCCCCCTCAGGTTCCTGCCCCCTCAGGTGTGTCCCAGGTAGACGCCGTTGACCCGGTCGAGGTTACAGGTGACTCTGGTGCTGCTGCGGGTGCTGAGCCTGGGGGTGCTGACTCTGGGGGTGCTGTGCGCGGGGGTGCTGAGCCTGGGGGTGCTACTGCTGGGGGTACTGGGCCTGCGGGTGCTACTGCGGAGAGTGCGGAGCCTGGGGGTGCTGAGCAGGGGGGTGCTGTGCCTGGAGGTGATGGGTCTCGGGGTGCTGGGTCGGGAGCTGCTGAGCCTGGGGGTGCTGCGTCTGGAGCTGCTGAGCCTGGGGTTTCTCCTGCTGCTGCGTCTCGCCGGGAGCCCCTCTCTCCACAGGAGCTGCGCGAGTGGTTCGCTCGCCGCTGGAGGCGTGCTGCTGAGTCTGGAGGTGCTGCTGGAGCTGGAGCTGGAGCTTCTTCGACCGTCGAGGGTGCGGGTGCTGCCGGTCCCGGAGCTACTGGACCTGCGGGTCCTCCTGGAGCTGGAGCTGCTGAGGGCGTTGGTGCTGAGCCTGCTGCTGTTGGTCCTGCCGCTGGAGGTGTGGGTGGCGCTGGTGCTGTCTCTGAGGGCGCTGGTGCTGTCCCTGCTGCGTCTGGAGCTGCTGAGCCTGGGGTTTCTCCTGCTGCTGCGTCTCGCCGGGAGCCCCTCTCTCCACAGGAGCTGCGCGAGTGGTACGCTCGCCGCTGGAGGCGTGCTGCTGAGTCTGGAGGTGCTGCTGGAGCTGGAGCTGGAGCTTCTTCGACCGTCGAGGGTGCGGGTGCTGCCGGTCCCGGAGCTGCTGGACCTGCGGGTCCTCCTGGAGCTGGAGCTGCTGAGGGCGTTGGTGCTGAGCCTACTGCTGTTGGTCCTGCCGCTGGAGGTGTGGGTGGCGCTGGTGCTGTCGCTGAGGGTGCTGGTGCTGTCCTTGCTGAGTCTGGAGCTGCCGCGCGGCCTCGGCCGTACTTCGTTCCGCTCCTACAGCAGGTTCTTGGTCTTTCTCCTTCGGTAGAGTGTCCACAGCCTGTCCAGTCGCAGTCACTGTTGGAGCCTTCCTCTCCTCTGCCTGCTCCCTCTCCTTACACTGGTCCTACTGGAGGTCTTGCTGAGCGTCGTGAGCCTGCGTCTCGTCCCGCGTCGCCTGTTCGTGCTGCTCGCGCTAGTGGTCGCGGTTCGCGTCAGCGTCCTCCTCCTGTCCCTGGCACGCACCGGATGTCTCTGCGTCCGTCCACTGCTCCTCTGCGTGCCCCTTTGCCTTCGCCTCCTGAGTCCTCTCTTCCTGCGCTTGCCGACCCTGAGTCGGACTCTCTTCGCGCTGCCAGTCCTACTGTCACGCGTCTGCTTGCTACTGTCGTCACTGACCCCTCTTTTGAGTCCACTGCTGCGTCTGCTCTAGTCGCTGAGCTCGTTGACTTTGCTGCTCGCTGTCGTCTCGACTACGCTGCTGGTCTTGTTGCTGAGTCTGCGTCTGTCTGTCCTCCGTCCGTCGGGGGTGAGTGTGCTCTTGGCACGGACGTCCTAGAGGACAGACAGGAGGAGTTACAGTGTCTAGCGGCTGCTTCACCTCATCTCGCGTCTGTACTGCTTGCCCCTGAGGGAGACCCGGATGCACTAGACATCCCGACTCCGCGTTCTTACGCGGAGGCCGTAGAGGGTCCCTACTCCTCTCAGTGGCAGGCAGCTATGGATGCAGAGATGGCTTCCTGGAAGTCCACAGGCACCTACGTTGACGAGGTTCCCCCTCCTGGGGCGAACATCGTCAGTGGCATGTGGATCTTCCGGGTGAAGCGGCCGCCGGGCTCTCCACCTGTCTTCAAGGCGCGGTACGTTGCTCGTGGCTTCAGTCAGCGGCAGGGAGTTGACTACTTTCAGACCTTCTCTCCCACCCCGAAGATGACCACTCTTCGGGTGCTGCTGCACATAGTCGCTCAGCGCGACTACGAGCTGTTCGCTTATTCTCACATCCTCCAGTGCTGTACGTCGACAACAAGGCAGCCATTGCCTTGTGTGAGGAGCACAGACTGGAGCACAGAACGAAGCACATCGCTCTGCGCTACTTCCTTGCTCGAGAGCTGCAGCAGCGTGGTCAGCTTCGTCTGCGTTACGTGGCCACTGAGGCCAACACTGCTGATGTGTTCACCAAGGCGCTTCCGCCTGTTGACCATCAGCGCTTTTGCACTCTTCTAGGCCTTGTGCCTACTGGACCTCACTTGCTTACTTCTTGACTCTGTTTGTACTGTGATCTCTATATATACCTGCATGTTTACTCTTGCTAGGTTTTGATCATTGTACCTCTTGCTCTATTATAAATCTGCATGTGAACTGGTCTTGTGACCACTTGCTTGTGCTCGGAATTTGTGTGGTATCCTCGAGATCCACCCTGAGCTTGTTTTGCCTTGCTTTGCTTTGACTGGTCTTGTGACCCCTAGTTCTCCCCCACTTTGCCTATGGGGGTGTGTCAAACATTGTAAGTTCTATCTGTTTAGGCTACAGTGGGTTAGCCTATAGGGGGTACACAATTCTAGGGTTTCCTACTTGTACTCATTTCACTGCTAGTTCATCCATTCCTGTTTTGTACTTCTGACAAATGTGTGAAGAAACAGTGTTAAAAACAACATCTAAACGTTGAAACGATGACATGTTGCGCGCAGGCCTATCCTTGCACAAATTCAGGCCAGCAAACGCACAAACAAGCGTCACGTGCTGTGTAGTTGGGCGAACAAGATCAAATCAGTTCCTATAGCAAGGGAATAGGATGTGCTACCTGAATATGTGAATACATGGTGCTAAAAACAACATATAAACTTTGAAACGGTGGCATGTTGCGCACAGGCCTATCCTTGCACAGGCCAGCAAACGCACAATCAAGCGTCTCGACACGTGGTGCCGTTTCGACGTCCAGTTATTTTGGTTTCTTTTGCTCATCCAAAATATTTTACTATCTTGCTTGCATGCTCGTCAAATCTGGTGCGGTTAGGACAACGGGGTTAGAATGCACAATGATTTACTATCTCTTTCTGTTAAGTATTTTGTCACAAGGTGAACTTGATTTACGTTACATGAGGAACCATTTTTGTGCGACGTTAATTGCTCGACATGAAAATATTATGCAATCAATTATGTTTTTATAAGAGTAAACATATGCAACTGTATGCAGTTAAAAGAAAAGGCTTTGCACATTGAAACATCTTTGCACATTTGTGCTGAGGTAGCCAAAAACGGAGCTGAACAGTGACGCGCGAAATTCTGCCATCCGAGCAGTTCGCGCGCGACACAGGACCTGCAATGTGATTGGCGCCAAACCAATCCCTCGAATTCCAAGCCAAAAACGAAGCAGCGCTCCAAAATCTGGTTCGGTTTCGGAGCAGCACCAGACTCAATTGCCCTGCCAAAGTAACTTCACCAAACTAACTTGAACATAAGTAACTTTTGGGGGCTCGTCAAATTTGGGATGATGCTATTAGTTTTTCTCTCGCGCTCTCGCTCATCTGCTCTCGCTCTCGCTGCCACCTTGGAGCATTTCAGGGCTGCCGGAAGCCCTCGTGTGATCTCGCGCCGCCGACGGTTAACCGGCCGCATAAACACGCGCTGCCTTTCATCGCTCCGCTATTCGTGTTCGCCTCCCCTTCACGCCTCTACCTATTTTTATGCCAAGCATGCCGTCGTTCACAACGAGGCCTGATCGCGCGCCTCGCCTCCCTGACGCCCCTTCGCGAGTCGGGTTGGCGCCACCCCTGTGGAACAGAAAGCCTGCCGCACGCCCCCCTGCAACGCCCTTCCCGCTCTCTGTGTGACTGCGTTGGCGTCTCACCTTCGCCATACTTTTATTTTTGGCAGCGGTGGCAGCCCCAAGCGTGTCCGCGCAACCACTCTCGCTCCCCTCTTCAGGTAAGTAGCACCGCGCACCCTCCAGCCTTTCTCAGTCGGTACCGTATCAAGCCACATGATCATTCGTTTTCCCTGTTCTTCTGCAATGACGCTCTCTCTTTCGATCCGCTGCTCCCCACCTCACCTCAATACCCCTGCCTATGTGCATGGTACTCGGGCTTGGAATGCCGATCAGGCTGCCAACCCACTCTCGTGAATCGCTGTGGCCAACGCCTTTGCGTTCACCCCCCCTCTCTTGCCACTGCTGGCGCTTGGCCTTGTGCTTCGGGAAGCCCGTCGGGCCCGCCCTGGCTCCCTCTCTAGCTCCCCGGTCGCGTTTGTCTCACCCCTCACTGTCTCAGCTCACAAAACCCCTCCCCCCCCCCTCGTCCCGGTGCTCCCAACCCGCCTCTCCTCCCAGTTTCGCGCCCTTTGTCGCTACGACGCCGTCCCCACCTCTCGCTCCGGGTCTGGCTCGTTCCCCCCTGGTGGCTTCCATGACTCGCTTCTTCCTTGACCCCCCACGTCTCAACATGCTGCTATACCGCCCCTCTGTCCCCCTGGATCAGTCTTCCCTCCCTCATGCCTCTCAGGCTCCACCCTGGACCCTCAGATGGCCCTGAGGCCCTGCTGCTCCACCTTCCTTGCCCTTCGCATCCTCGCTCGTGTCACTCCCTGCCCCTCCTCTCACTCTGTATTTCAGGCAGCTTGACTCGCCTTTTCGGCTTCCAAGAAGTTTTTTCGCCGATGGAGAACTATCCCCCTTTGCATGCAACCCTAGCAACCTCTGCTGCCCCTTGTCTGCGTACCCCGCGATACCGTATGGCAGTTTTTTACACGCTGCCATGTCTAACAGGCTTCATTTGTGATTGTGCATTAACTAGATGCGACCTGTTTTTTCCTTGCAGCTCCATATCTTGTAAAATTTATAGCTGGAAACATTGCCACCAGTATATCACTACACACTTCTCCCGTCGCAAACTGTCAACACTCCCTAATAGTGATAACACATCGCTCGTTTTTGTCACAAGCCGTAAAAGGGGTCGGACCTTTACGAACCACGAGTACCACGCAATAGCACCCAAGGTCTTTCTGTATGCTTCCTTGCCACACTCAGCACCCGCCTTGATCCACCCGTCAGCCTTGCGGGGTACCTACGGTGATGCTCACATAAAG